ACAGACTCACCGAGATGAAGGCATTGGCAAGGAAACCCTTGCAAGAACTCGAGAGAGAAGAGGAGAGAGAGACAGAAGAAGAAGAGAGCAACCAAGGAACAAAGTGGTTGACGACGAAATTCGTCTTCGATTGGCGATTCAGGAACGGCCGATGGACAAGGAGAGCTAGGCTAGTCGCAAGAGAGTTCAAAGCAGCAGAAGTAAGGAATGACACATTCAGCCCAGCAACAAGCGCATCGTTGGTGAGACTTATCCCTATTTTGGGACTACAACAGGAACACGCCTTGTACTCCATTGATGTCAAGGACGCATTCTTGCAGGTACCACAAAGGACCCGATGTGCATGTCAATTCCCAAAGGAATATGTGGATCTGTTTGGCGACCAGGACCCCAGTTGTAGGAACGAAGGTTTGTTACTGCTAAGAGTACTTCCAGGACAGCGAGATGCAGCACTACTATGGAGTGATCATTTTGCAGGAACCCTCAAAGAGCAGAACTTTGATAGGAGCAAAGCATGCCCTACTTTGTTTCGTGACGACAGGAACAGCATACTTGTTGTGCATGTAGATGACATTCAGGCAGCAGGGAAAACAAGGCACCTAGAGCCCAAGCTAGGAAAGCTAAGAGAAACCTACGAGCTAAAGGTTGAAGGCCCCTTCTTGACAGAGCAGGAACTTGAAGTAGGAGAGTCACACCAGACAATCCGATTCCTTAAAAGGAAATTCAGCTACCACAATCACGAGCTCCACATCACGAGTGACCCGAAGTATCTTGTGAAGCTTAAGGAAGAACTGAAGCTTACCAGCAAAGCCTCAAAGCCAACTCCGTGCACCCAAGAGTCGCAGGAACAGGACAACACTCAGACCTTGAACCAGGAACAAGCAGCATCGTTCAGGAAGAGCGTTGGCATACTCTTGTATGTCAGTCAGGACCGCCCTGACGTGCAGTTTGCCGTGAGAGGTTTAGCCTCCAAGATGTCGGAACCAACACATGGTTCTTGGAAGCACTTAGTCCACCTAGTGCAGTACATGTCGAGAACTGAAGGATACCATCTAGTGTACAGGAAGACACCCAGAGGACTCAGTAATCTCAATGAATCCATTAGGAATGGTAACTACGACTTTACAGGAACAAGGCCCAAGGAACACCACCTTTTGGAAGTCTTCAGTGATTCAGATTGGGCAGGAAAGAAGGACACAAGGCGCTCAACATCTTCAGGAATTGTTTGCTTAGACGGTCAGTGCATTTACTCTTTTTCTAGGAACCAGAAGTCGGTTAGCTTGAGCAGTGGTGAAGCAGAGTACTACGCAGGAGCGTCAGCAGCGTCAGATTCTATCTTGTTGAAGGAAGCAGTGGAATTCTTGACCAGGAAACAATGCAAGGTACACTTGTATATGGATTCTTCTGCAGCTAGAGGAATTATTACAAGGCAAGGTGTAGGTAGAGTCAAGCATTTGCAGATCAGGACCCTTTTTCTTCAAGACCTCCACAAAGAAGGAACAATTAGTGTTCACCCAGTAGGAACCAAGGAAAACACAGCTGATATAGGAACCAAGCCCCTTTCAGCGAAGCGTATCAGACTGTTGTTACACTGGCTAGGTTTTCAGACCAGCGAGAACGAACCAGTAGGTAGAGAAGAGCTCAAGGAACACAAGGCCCAAACACAAGCTAAAGCAGTTGTAAGGATGATCAAGAGCCCAGGAACTTTGTCTTTTGCAGCTTTGTTGTTTGCAGGAATTTCAGGTATTTCGGACAGTCTTCAGATTCAGAGTTTCAAGGAACAGTGTTTTGAGAGTTGTGTTCAAGAGGAAGAGTTTCAGGCAGACTTTCAGGAACATGTTTTCTGTTGTGCAAGTGCATGCGAGCAGGACGGCATATGCAGTGACACGAGTGCATGTGAGCTAGGAACGTTTGCAGGAACAGCGCATGGAACAACATGTAGTGAGATGCTTTCGCAGCTCAAGGAACTCTGCGGAACACTCGCAGAACGCTCAGGTATCCAGGAACTAGTACGCCCAGTAGCAGGTCAAGGCACCTTACCAGGAACCTCAGCAGCCATGGAAGCGAGCGCGAGTTCAAGCAAAAGCTCAGAAGAGATCGTCAAGGAACTTCAGACCTTGAAAGAAGCGGCAGTCACGTTGAAGACTGCTACAGAAGAAAGGAACTTGATCGCGGAGTCGATCAGGAAGAACACAGAGGAAGCTGCGCGTTTGCGCAAAAGTCAGGAACACGTTGCAGGATGTGTGGAAAGTTTGACATCCCAAATCTACAGCGTGAAGCACCAGGTTCAGGAAATGGCCGAAGAGAACGAAAGAGACCGGAAGCAGGTCAAGGAACACATGAACTTCGTCCTAGGTACATGTGATTCCGTGAAGGAACAGCTGAACCAGATGATGCAGGACTTCTACGAACACAGCAGCAAGAAGAAGAAGAAGACGAAGAGGAACAAAGGAAAAGAGAAGCCAAGGACCGAGAACTAGAAGGTGAACTACGTCGTGAAGGACACGGACAAGGAACAGCACCTTCGAGAGCTACGTCACCTACCTCCCAGGAACACAAAGGAGAAGACGATATAAGGAACTGGTCAGACAGGAGCTACTTCGAAGACTCCAGGAACAGGAAGAAAGCCAGGACTACTTCGACGAGAACGAGAACGAGGCCTACGTGGACAGCTACGTTGGAGGAGAAGATCCCGGGGAGTACCCCGAAGAAGCCAAAGCAGAAGAAGGAACAGCAGCAGCAGAGGAAGAAGAAAGCGAGGAAGCAAAGGAAGAAAGAAGGAAGAAGAAGATCGCGGAGATCAACGCCAAAAGCAAGCAAAGGCTAAAGGAGAAAGAAGAGGAAAAGAAGCAGTTTCCGTACCCCTACGACTACAGCAGCGAATGGAAGGAATACTCCGAGAACGGCGAGATCTACAAGCAGCACAGAGTCACAGGAGAAAAGATCCACATTGACAAGGACTACACGTACAAGCACGAGAAGGGAACAAAAGGAAAGAAGAAAGGAGAAGGAAAAGGAAAACCAAAGGCAAGAGCAGAAAGCACAGGATTTCGACCTCGAGATGAAGATGATCGCAAATATTGGAATGAACAGGACAGGATCTCAAAGGAGCAGAAGGAAGCGAAAGCCAAAGCAGAAGAGGAGAAGAAGGCAAAGGAAGAGCAGATTGCCAAAGCAAGAAGGATTTTGGAAGAAGCAGCAGAAGAGCAGGAAAAGCGAGACAGAGAGCAGGCAAAAGCAGAAGCCGCAGCAGCCGCCGAGAGAAGGCGAGAGGTAGAAGCGGCAGCCAAAGCAAAAGCAGAGAGAGAGGCAAAGGAAAAGGAGGAGACAGAAGCAGCAGCCGCAGCAGCCAAAGAGGAAAAGGAAAGAAAGGAACAGGAGAAGAAAAGAAAGGAGAAGGAAGCCAGGAAGAAGAGAGAGGAGGATCAAAAGGCATCGTCAGCGTACATTGCCAAGAAGGAAGCAGAGAAGAAGGCAGCAGCATCAACAGCAACAGGATCAGGAGAAGCAGACAGGATCCAGAAGCTTGAAGAAATGATGAAGGAGATGATGAAGGAACGCAAAGAGGATAAAGAAAGAATTGCAAGCCTTACACAGGAGCTTGAGAGCAGAGGATCAGCAGCCGGGTCGCAGGCACCCACGGAACCAGACACAGCACCAGCAACACCAGCAAAAGAAGAGGAGAAGCCAGAAGGAAAAGGAACAGGAAAGGAGCCACCGAGTGTCACACAGCAGCAGCAAAGGAAAGGAGGAAAGGACGACCCAGAACTTTCCGCCAAAGGACCAGTGAACGAAGAATCGTTCATGAAGGGCAAAGGAAAAGGAGAGTTTGAAGGAAACTGGTTTGCAGTCTACGGTTTCCAGAACAGGAACTACCAGTGGAAGTGGAACGAAGTCAAGACGCAGTGGTACTGGTATTCCGGATCAAAGGAAACAGGTTGGAAAGCAGGATCAAGAGACAAGCAAGGAAAAGAGAAGTGCATGTCACAAGCAAGGCAGCGTGCAGAGTGGCTAGAGCAAGAACTCAAGGAACAGAAAGAAGTCAGCAACGAAGAAGAAGGACAAAAGTCTACAAGGTCGACGACGGCGAAGTGACCTTCCAGTGAAGCAAAGGAACAGCGAGCAGTACTGAGGCCAGAGAGCCGAGGAAAGAAGCAGCAGGACACAGGAACCGTGGCACAGCCCTTTTTGTTTCTGTGGTGATCTAAGTATAGTAAAGGAACGTCTTTTGTACAGTCGAGCAACCTTGGAGAGGATTGCGAGTGAACATAGGAACATATGTTTGCGATGAGGCAGAGTGTTTGTTTTGCAAGTGAAAAGGAACTGCAGTGTGTTTACTGTTGACAGGAAAAGTCGGAGTCACCTCAGTCGAGGAACTTTCGCTAACTCCGAAGGCGGGGTGTTAAACATCTTGCCAGGAACAGTAACACAGTTAGTGCAGTGCAGTTAATGTACAGGAACAGCCGTCACGCACACGCGACGTGCAAGGCTCGAGACCAGCGGACACAGTGACCCACAAGGAAAAGTGACCGCTTCAGTTTGTGAGTAGGAAGCTTAGTGAAGCCCGTTCTTTAACAGAAGCTCCTTTCAGTATCTGGATGGATTGCTGGACTCTGTTGCAACCTAATCAACGTGTGCGGCTCATTTCAAGTACCTACTTTCTCAATGAAGAGTTTGCCAACTGCATGGTTGAATGCGCGTACGCAGCACAGATTGGAAAGATTGATGATCTTGCTCATATGGATTAGTGCAGGTGCTCCTTTGAGGTTGGAGTATGTCTTTCGAGCTTTAGAAGGGGCCCGACGATTGATGCTCCGAAGCCTGCGAGTACCACCCGGTACAGATCCGGCCCTCCTGGCGAGACTTACAGGTTTGCTATGCACTTTTCTGTTTGAAGCTTTGCTCTGCAGCCGAATCCAGCTACTCTTGCAGCCGTGTGTTCGCAAAGCTTGTTTGACTGCAGCCCCACTCTGGCGGACACTTAGCTCTTTCTGCTACCAATGTCGGGACCAGATCAGCCGGAAGAAGGTGAGTCTGCGCCATCTCGCTCAAGAAGTCCAAGGACTCGGCTTCTGCATAGGCCTCGATATTTGCAGCCGGAACCTCTTCCACCTGATGCACCGCCTTGCGGTCCGCCTCCTCCGGTGCCAGTACACTATGCTGCTGATGATGCTGCAACCCATGAGGATGAATCACACCCCAGCGGAACAGACTCCATGGACTCTGACGAGATCACCATCCGAGAGCTGGCTGAAGAAGCTCGGCGGCTTCGTGCGGAAAGAGGCCCAGCCAAGCCCACGACTGCCTCTACAAGGGCGAATACTACCACCAACGATCTACCAGCTCCTCGCGAGGATCATGAAAACTCGGAGTCTGAATGCCCGGCGGAGGAAGACGAGCTCGATGAGAATCCCTTTGATACATCCTCTAGACCGGAGGACGTCCTTGCTGCAGCCAAAGCCACAGTCCCTGAAGATAGCAGTTCAGATGGTTTCAGCCCTCTTACGCCTGCTAGTGCTGATGGTCTCGGGTTTGAACCAGCCACCAAAGACTGAATGTACCTTTTCATGTGCACAGCCTCCGTTTCTCATGGATGCGTGGTGGAGCTGGGAAAAACAGGTGCCGCTGCTGATTTGTATATCTGTCTTCTACCAGTACATGCAGTGCATCATCTACATTTGCCAGGTCTCCTACCACCTCCTTTCGGACATTCGGTACGGTGGCACTCTTAGAGTACCTACAAGCTGGCAGCCCAACATCAATGATGAAGCTCTCTGTCAAGTTTGCTCTGGTACAGGTACTCTTCCTACTACGCCCACGTCCCCTACAAAGCAGTGCCGCCTGGGTCCCAAGTCCCAGGGTGCCGGACGCATTCGATGTTTACGCACAACACTTCTACTTTTGCTGTTGATAGCATGGATACCAGCAGCACGTGCCGGCACAGATGCGAGGGTTGATTCTGATTCCCGCCCGGTTTCTGGAGCCCTTCGGGGTGAACTTTTAGGTGGGAGCACCGCTTGCACGACTACCTTTCCGGCGCCATGCTCAGGCAGGCAACGAATTCGCAAAAGAGCTTTTTCCCGAGCGCTTCGTCGAGCACGTTTCTCACAGGATGGAACAACCATCTATCGAGGCCGCACTCTTCATGCGCCCCATCATAGTGATCCACACCCAAAGCCCACCAGGCCCTCTGCAGCGACTACGTCCTCGACGGCAACGAGGCATCGCTCCAGGCTTCGCACGTTCAGCTTGAATGTTGGTGGTCTTGACTCAACAACGTTCGATTGTCTTATGGCTTGGCTTCCTAATGCACCGTATGATGTCATAGCTCTGCAGGAAGTCCACCACGGTCGGGGGAAAGAGTCCTCACACTGGTCCTCGGCAGGTTGGACCTTCATAACCAGTGTCGATCCTACCTCTAGATTTCAGGGCCTAGCCACGCTGGTTCGACAGGACTTCCAGGGTGATGCGGAGATTCACCACAAGGAGATCAAAGCAGGCCGTTTGCTACATGTACGTCTTGCACGGCCCGAATATCACATAGATGTGGTGAACTTTTATCAGCAAGCTTACCAGCCAGATTCAGCGGGACACAATCTCTCCAAACGACATAGTCTTTGGGACAGCCTAAATGCCACTATACAACAACTGGCCAGGCGAAACATCTTGGTTCTGCTGGGGGACTTCAACTGCACCCCGGTTTATGCTGCGGGACACATCGGATGCTCGTTGTCCAGGGCTGAGCTCTACTCGGATGCTGCTGAATTCACCACCATTCTGGAAGCTAACCAGCTGGTTGTCCTCAACACATGGTCTCGACGTCGTCTGCTTCCTACCTTTACAGGTCCTAGACATCAGTCCATCATTGACTTTATCATCACCCGACAGGGACATGCAGATGCCGTGGCTCGACGTGCCCTACCAAAACGAGGCTTTACACTCAGTCCGTGGCGTCAAGGGGGCAAGCATCACCCGGTTGAGGCCACTCTTCCTCTACATCCAGGCTGGCAACGGGCTTCACCACGGTCGTCCACTCAGCCCAACAGGTCTTATGATAACTTGGCTCTCACGGCTGCCGTCCGAGATCGCACTCCGCAGTATGATGCTCTTCGGGAAGCTTTCAGGTCCAAACTTGCGGCGATACAAACCTCTGACCTCCAACAAATCAATGATCTCCTACTCGATTTGGTTTGCAGGCTTTTTCCTCGAGCTCCTCCACAACCACAGCTCCGGGCTTGGCAGACGTCGGAGGTGCAAACATCAGTTGCGGACATGTGGCGTGCACGGAGGCGAATGCAAAGACCGGCTGGCCACCCACCAGGTTCCTTTCGTGCATGCTTTCAAGCATGGCGACGGCACCAGGAATTTCAGAAAGCCTATAAGGCCCTTCGCAAAAGGGGCCGGGAAGCTCGCAAAGCCGTCCTCGAACACTACCTGGAACAGGCTCAGACTGCAGTTGCGCGGGGTGACCATGGCCTATTGCATCGCATTATTCGGCAAATGGCACCCAAAACCCGACATGCCCAGGTCCGTATACATGGTAAACAGGGTGAGATGCTCACCTATCAGCAGGAGCAACAGGCCATTGTTGAACATTTTGAGACTCTCTTTTTGTCTCGACAGTCTGGATGCACACTGTCAGCAGCTCGACCTTCAGCACATTACGAGGTCAGCCCGCTTATGTTTCAGCAAGCCCTCGACTCGCTCAAGATGGGAAAGGCAGTACCTCCGGGCAGCGCTCCTACCAGTGCAGTACGTGCATGCTCGGACATGATCTCCACGATTGCTGCTCCTCAGGCCGAGACCTGTCTGAATGGGGCTGAGACGCCGTCTTTGTGGGCCGATTGTACTTTGGCACTCATCCCCAAGCCACACAAGTCGGGGAAACGACCCGAAAATCTCAGACCTCTAGGACTACAAGATACTGGTGCAAAGGCCTATGCTAAGGTATTGAAGCAGTTACTTTTGCAGGAAGTCAGCTCCACTATAGCTGCTTTGCCTCTGTTTGCATATGTACCTGGCAAAAGCACGGACACTGCTATGCCTAGTTTGGGTAGCGAAGCGGACCAAACAGTTTGTTCCAAGGAGGCCCGGGGGGGAGGGGGGGAACAATGGGGGCTTGAGACCACCATCAGTTCTGTACGCTTCAGCCATCGTGCTTCGGTCCACGGCCTGCATGCAGTTGCTCTCAGTCATGTCAGTTATGTCAGTCATGTCAGTTGTTTGCAGTTTTCAGTGTTCTTTGCTCGCGATACTTTTCAGTTTTCCCTTTGGCGAAACATTCAGGTGAAGATGATTTTAAAGAAGTTTTATCTTTGAACACTCCTCCTCAAAGGAGGTGTTTTCCAAATCTTTGATTTATCATTCCAGTCGCCTATGACTTTATGTTATTTGAGTTGAGGGCGATTCGCCCCTTGTCAGTTCAATGATATATCTTACGCCGATACATTCTGGATCAACCGGAAGGGGACTCTTAGTCCTTTTAGTGTCCGGGGGGCGCCTTTTCAGGCTTCTTCGCGCAATGGAAGATAGGCTGTGGGGCCTTCTTGAAGAGAAGGGCTGCAGTGCTGTGGGTTTGCTTCGCATGCATTTTCAGACTCCTTGGCACCTGGCATGCGCAGTGGATAGTGTTGAAGACGCGGTGCGATTGGCGGAGCAGATCACTCCGGGTTCGATTCCGTCGGACCACAAACGGTTGGGATCTCAGATCTGGGAGTGGATGACTGCTCACACAGGTCTTTTCAAGCGGGTGCAAAGCAGGCTTACTGCGAAGGCCACACGAATTGAAGCGACCCCTGGAAGTTCGGTGTCTCCTTGTGATATCTTTGATCAGTGCGTGAGCAATAGTCTTGATCTTTGCAAGCAGACCAGTCGTGCACATGCTAGATGGATTTCGAATGGCGCCGGGACCCCGGCGGATGCAGAAAAATCTTCTAAGAAGTTTTGGGGAACTGTCCTGGTTCAGATCATGGTGGAGGCAAAGCTTCCTATCGTTGACATTCCGGTTGAGAATGAGGAGCAGCGTGTTTCTTATGCTCTCCGAGCTCTGGGGGCTCGGAGGTCCAAGACACTCAGGAATCGCGCGAGGACCTGGCGCAAGGCTCGTGACTGGATGCTTTCAGTGAAAGGTTACCCTTTCCCGAAGAGCCCTTCTGACGTTGTAGATTACCTCATCTTCTTGGAGCAGGAGGTGGGTACAAAGAGCTGCATTTCTGAGCTTATGAGCGCGTTGTCTGTCATTGAGGATGCTGGACAGGTTCCTCTGACAAATCAGCTGTGCAAGAACCGATTGGTCGTCGCGGCCTCAAAGAGCACCGGGGCTGAAGTGCAGGAGGGGAAAACCAGCAGGAAGCAGGCGGCTCCCCTTTCGGTGGCGATGTTATTATCTTTGGAAATTTTTGTGGTGACTGGTACGAACCCTCATTATGCTCGGTGCCTGATGTGGGCCTGCTTGGTTTGCGTATGGGCTTGCATGCGTGTCTCTGATCTGCAAGGAATCGACGTTTCTCGCCTTAGGCTTTTTCGTGAGGGGCTTAAGGGCTTTTTAGTGAAGACCAAGACGACAGGACCTGATAAGAAGGTGGCCGAAGTTCCTTTCTTTATAGGCAGGTGTGTCGGGCTTTCAGGACGTGATTGGCTGGGCATTGGATTTGATTTGTGGAAAGGCCTGGGACAGCTTGATCGCACTTATTTGGTTTTCCAGTCTTCTGAAGATTTTGAAGAGCCATCTTACAAATTCGCCAAGCCGGAGGTTATTAGCAATTACATGCGTCTTATTTGGGGCCAACTTTTGGTCCCTTTCAGGAAGCTTGGTGAAGGTGTTTGGCGATCCAGGGCTGATGGTAAGCTTCTGGGTGATGAGTGCTTTCTTTTCTGGACAGGTCACAGTATGAGACATGTTTTGCCAACGATTGCAGCGGTGCTTGGTGTTCCAAAGGAGCAGAGGGATTATCTTGGCAGGTGGCATGTTGGTCTGCATCAGAGTGCGGATTACATACACACATGTCGCCAGATCGTGCATGATTTGCAGCGTCGGGTTTGTGACAAACTTTCGGGCGGCAAACCTGGCTACGATGAGGAGGAGTTGTTTGATGAGCTGAGGGCCTGGCTTCAGAGGAGAGGCTTGGACCCTGAACCTTGGATTAAGCTTCATTCCGTTATGCGCACCGTGGATGGATGCAAGGTTTTGAATCAGAGATGGCCACTGCTTCATGACATCACCGAGAGGTCGGACGACGCTGCCCCGGCCCCGTTGATTTCAAACTCTTCACAAGATTCTGGCGAGTCTCCTTTCTGGGTGAGCATCAGCAGGCACTCAGGGCACAGGCGACTGCACATACGGAATGGTTGCTGGGTCACTCCCGGTAGCTGTCACCGTTTCGCTGAGGTTTGGAAGGTTGACTCCTCAGTGGCCGACAGTTTCTGCAAATTATGCTATCGCGATAAGGAGAGTGCATCTTCGAGTTCGGGGGAATCTTCCTCCACGGATTTGGGTGAGCCATCAGAACCACTCGAGGTGGCTGACCCGTCTTTTCACACGTGATGCAACTCGTTGGAAGTGTGTGTGAACAAAGGTGGGAGTGCGCTCTGCGTGCGACTTTCAGTGCACTTTCAGTCCATTTGTTGATGCTTTCAGCTCGGGCGTCACGCTGCGCAAATTCTGTGGGATGCCGGTGACTTGCTCGGGGATCCCTTTCAGTTATCAGGACATGAGTGTCACGTGGTGACAACTATCAGATCTGAGAAGCTTGCTTCGCTTTCAGTTTCCCTCCGGGGTTTCAGCCTTCAGCATCAGGACATCTGTCAGACTTTTAGGGAACTCGATCGTAGACAAACCGCGGTGGTCCGCCATGGCCGCGGACCCAGCTGCACAACGTGCATATCTTCAGGCTAATGTGGATGCAGACTTTGTGTTCCTTCTTGAGGAGCATGGGGTCGATCTGGCACTTCAGTTTGCTATCGGTCAACATTACAAGAGCATTCGCACTTTTGCTGCTTTCGCCGATGATCGTGGTGCAGCACGTACTGCAATTACAGCCGATTTCGCTATCAGGCCTGAGAGCGCTGCGGATCGAGCTAGGATGGCATGCATCATCACTGCTTGGGAAGCTTCCAAGATGATTCGAGAGGAGGAAGCCAAGCTTCGTGCTGAGGCTAAGGTTTTGGGTGTTCAGAAGCCACTCGCCTCTTCGGATCGCGCGGCCATGCGGGTCGCCCTGGAAGCTGTTCGAGGCTACACCGTGCCGGAGTCCGAGGAGCCGGCGCCTGAGTACTTGGCACACAAGCTTGAACAGATTGAGAATGGCGAGCCCACTGCCAGCTATCTTGATGAAGTTATCTCTCGAAAAGAGTCCAACTCGCTTCAACTTCAGACTTCCTTGGACAATCAGGGCCGGCTTCGGGTCATGCGACAGAAGCCAAAAGGTCGCCTTCCGCAGAATACGGAGGAGCTGCGGGCGAAGCTTCGTCTCGAGGCCTCCACTTGGGTCATGCTCTCAGCCAAGTGTCGCGGTCGTGCATATTTGCAGGGGCTGCAGCTGTCACACTTTGATCGTTTCCTTGAGTTCCTGTTGGGTGACAAGTGTTACAGCATGCAAGTGGCTTCCAATGCTCCCGCAAGCTCTTCTCATGCGGAGAAACAGGCACTGTCGGTGCCTTGGAATGTCCTGCTTCAGTACGAGTTTGAGCTTCGTAAGTGGGCTATCAAGGAGGCTCATCGCGATGGGACCCCGCTCGGTGACAAGTTGTATGAGGCCACCCGGAATACCGAGCTCAAGGAGCTCCACTTCACCTCTCAGGTCGCCTTGTCAAAACGTTCGGCCGCTCATGATCCTCCCCCTCCAAAGTGGCCCCGCAAGGGCAAGGACGGCAAAGGGGAAAAGGCGGCAAGGACGGCAAGGGTGGCAAGGACGGCAAAGGGGGCAAGTCCACTGGCAAGATTCAGGTCGGGGAGTCCTGGTATGAGTTGGTGGCCAAGACTCCGGATGGTCGTGAGCTTTGTTATGCCTACAATATCAAGCGTGGATGTCAGGTCAAGGGATGCCAGCGCGTCCACGCGTGTCGCGTGAAGGGCTGCCAGGGCAACCATCCGGCATATCAACACGGCGCGCAAGGTGGCTCCTGACTTCGCCGTGGTCCGTTGAATTCAGTTGGCGAGTGTACTTCAGGGATACGTCCTACGCTTCGCGTGCTGTATCTGTTTTCAGGTCCGTCTCGCAAATCGGATGTTCGTGGCTCCCTGGAGGCGCTTTGCAAGGCACAGAGTATCACTTTGGTAATGTCAGAAATTGACATCTGCCGCGATCCCAAGCTAGACCTTTTGGATCCTGCCATCGCCGATCGATGTTTGCAGGAGGTTAAGAACTCTGAGTGGGATGTGGTCTTGGACTTGATCTTCCTGGAGTGCGTGGGGTATGTCAGCTCACTGTAAATGCGGTGAAACAACCACTTGGGTGCTGCTTTGTACATGCTTGCATGCTTTGCATTATATCAGTGCCCTCTTGATTCGCCGCCCTTTTCCAGCTTTTCATGCATATGCCAGCTTGAGCGTGTGTGCAGGTCATTATGCTTATCTTTTCCACATGGCGACTCACACTTTGACGGGAACACCGTCGGATTCAACAGCAGATCCAAGCCTTGCTGCTGCCTGTATGCCCTACAATTTACTACATGACGTGCCTTTCGGTATTTATCAGTCCAGACAGCGTGCCCAGTGGATGGATGCCAGAGGCATCTACAATTCACTTGACGATGTACCACACTGTCTTCCGAACCGATGCACGACATCCGGTTTTCAGGCATGTATGGCATCCAGCAGCGGCTCACGTGGCACACCAGAGCAGCTATTGGTCCTGGTTACGGCAACATCTGATTCTCTGGATGATGTACCACACTGTCTTCGAGACCGAGGAAGTGAACCTATCTCGTGTATCACGATGGATATGCTACATACCTGGGCCGATCAGCCTGCATCTCAACTTCTTACTCCCCACCACCTTGCTCAATTCTTGCATCGATGGGGTTTTTCAGCCGTGGATGTTGTTGAATGGGGCATTTATTACTACTTTGAGCAGGCTCCATGTACAGATGCAGAGTGGAAACAGGTGCTCCTTCAGCAGCTACACCGCAATGTTTATCAGCTTTCCATGTCTGGTGCCATATGCTATTTCAAACAACTGCTAGTGGGTGCCCATCGGGAGGATTTTTATGAGGAGCTTTACACGGTGGCATGTCGTCGCATACAGCTGGATGATCCCACTACTACTATGACCACTGTTCTTCACTGGCTATACATTCTGGCCACGTATGGTACCTTGGTCTGATGCCTCTACAGCTGTTTCTTTGACTGCATGACCTTTACAGTCCGGTGGGCCATGCTATCTATTCGCTTCCGATCCACTGCTCTTCAACCTTCTGTATGGCGCCTTTGTTTTCGATGGTGTTGCTTCATCAACGGTCTTTTTCACAGCATGGGACTTCTTTGTACATGTACATACGGTCGAGTAGTCCAGTCCGTCTGGTCAGACCAATGCCATGTGTACAAAGGTCTAGTAGTCCAGTTCGTCTGGTTAGACCGCGATGTATATACGATCAAGTAGTCCAGTTCGTCTGGTTAGATCGATGCCATGTGTACAAAGGTCTAGTAGTCCAGTGCGTCTGGTCAGACCGATGTGTATATACGATCGAGTAGTCCAGCACGTCTGGTTAGATCGATGACTTGTGCTCTGTCTCACCTTTGTTAATGCTGACGTTGGTTTTTAAAACCACTCCTGCAGTGTTTGCCCACATGTGGCTAGCCCGGTGGGATCCACTGCTTTTGCTCTCTCTCTGAGCCGATGCCACTGTGCATTGTAGCGTAGCGCGAGACTGCTGGACAGTTTGCGTCATACAAAGTACAAAGTACAAAAGACCTTTTCGCGGGCTCGGTGTGTACAGCCGGGTCCTCGGCCACTGCGATCACGTCTTTATCCTCGGGGCTTTCCTTGGCTATCCGATTCTCACCGAGCTCTTGTTGAACATGGCAACCAGCTTGTTTCTTTTGCCTTTGACATCTGCACAAATGCGCTTTCGAATTCAGTACCTTTCCTACTTGAGCATCCTGAAGATCTGGGGCTCACTTCCAACGGTCATGCTCCGGCTTCCATTTGGCAGCTACCGGAGGCCGTTGCTCTTTTCAAGCATGAGAATGTCATCACTTTCGCAGTATACCAATGCCAATATGGGGCGTTTTCGCCCAAGCCCACACGTTTTCTGTCTTCTATTCCGGTTACTTCTCGAATGCCCTTCACTGGGCCGCCTCGGTTTGACGCTTCAGATCGATACCTCGGCCCTTTGCCGAAATACTGTGGTCATCGGCATCAGCAAAAACTGCTCGGGCCTGCCGCTACTTCCGCGGCTGCAGCTTACCCGGACGATTTGTGCAGAACCATTGCTGAATGGTGTTTCTCCGTCTTCGATGGGGGGGGAACACTGGCTGCATTGGCTCCTACACTGGTGCTGGGACCGGGTTTTCAGTTTCCAGCGAGGGAGGTGGAGGCTGGCTCGGGCGCTTCCCCTGCGGAGCGACTTGCTGCAGAATGCTTGAGGAGCGGGACAATTTCGCACGGGCAACTTCTGCGCATCTCTGAATTGCTGCCGGATGAAGACAGAGTTCGACAGACTTCTAGGGTGATCGAAGGTCAGCGATCGTTCACTGCAGGAGCCTTTGTTCACTCTGACAAGGTTGGCATCAGGCGCAACACGAGGAGCTTTCCTTTGTCTTCAGAGCTTTTGGCCAAGCTGCTCTCGTGTGGCTTCCCTGGCCGACCCTTCACTTCTTTAGCATTCTTTCGTGATCTTAAGCAACCGCCGCATCGGGACACCACGAACGGACCTTTTGACAATCTGCTTTTGGCCTGTTCAGGGTTTTCGGGGGGCGGTCTTTGGGTTCAGTCGGAGGGCGGCTCGGTCCGTCGTTTCATAAGTGGTTCATGGCTGTCGGGTCATATCCTGGACTGGGACGGCGGCAAGATTACCTTCGATCCACATGTCTGGCATTCCACGGAGGACTGGGAAGGTTGTCGCTTGGTCCTGGCCGGGTACACCATTGCGAACGATGGGCAGCTCGCTGAATCGGACCGGGATGCTTTACTTGACTTGGGATTCGACCTGCCAGGAAAGCGAAAGCGGGACCACTGCGAGACCACGACCGCAGGGGATGCTGGCGACGATGGGAAGGAGATTGAGGACCTACCTTATAGTGAGCTGAAATCTGGCTGTGAGGGACCGCCCTTGGTGGGCGAGTTTGCAGGGGCGACTGACGAGTTTGTGGACGGCTTCGGTAGATGCTCGCCGGGGCGTTGGAAACCTATCTGCCGGGGGCGCCACATGTCTCCTGCCGCCACTTCCTTTGCACAACAGCTTAAAGATCGTGTTCGAAAGTTTGTTCTTGAAAACGTGCCTGATCTGGCAAAAGCGACTTTTCGTCTGGCGACGGGGCATTGGAATGGTCCCTTGTTCGCTCCGGAGGCAATGGACAAACTTCGTGAGGACTGGTTCTGCATGCTGCCGGATCCTGCACGAGCAAGGGAGCTGACTCCTCATCAGCCATTCTACTTGAGGGCAATGGCACAGACCCTAAAAATCTTGGAGGATCCCGACTACCGCATCATCGAGGAGGGCAAGTTCTGCTTCGTGAATGGTGTGGAGGTCGGACACACTGCGCCATTGGGGCCGGTCCCTCAAGTCTTCAGAGCTCGTCGAAAGGATCAGAAATACGATGAGTCCGACTGGCAACCGCTGATGGATAATTATCGGGACGGCCCTGAGGTTGCAAAATCGCTTGAGGAAGCATTTGCAAAAGAAGAGGCAGAAGGCCGTATGTTCCCACTCTCTCTTTCAGAGGCCCGGGCCCGCTATCCGGGGGCGGCACTTCGTATTGCAGCGCAGGCGGTGATTCCGAAACCTGACCAAGATTTTCGTGTGGTCCATGATGGGACCCACGGGGTCCACGTTAACAATGAGATTGTTATGCTGGACCGTCTTGAATCGCCAGGGGCTAGGGAAGTGTCCGCGATCCAAAAGCTGGGCAGCGTGTCTGATGAGAAAGTCCTCTTCGGTCTCGTGGGGGACGTGAAAAAGGCGCACAGGCGCTACTTGCACCATCCCGACCATTGGGGGGTGCTCTCCTGCAGAACGAGGAGCGATTCCTCTGTGGTCTGGGTCAATCGCACTGGGACTTTCGGAATTGCTTCAGCGGCTTATTGGTTTGCGCGGATCATCGGTCTCGTGGGCAGGCTTTCCCTCAGAGTTCTCCTTCAGTCATTCCTCTTCATGCTCATTTATGCCGATGATCTACACGTGCTCAGCGGGGGACCCGATCGCTGGCTCAATCTCTGGATGTCCCTTGCGCTACTATGCCTTCAGGGGACCCCCTTCTCAGAACGAAAGTGGCGTGGGGGACTGCAACTTGATTGGGTCGGTTATTGGATTGATTATGGACGCTTCAAGCTGGGAATATCTGAAAGGAGGTGCCATTGGATCATCAGTGGCATCGAATCCATGGAGGGAAACGGCTGGCTTGTGGATGTCCGACGATTTCATGAGCTTCACGGGAGACTCGGTTTCATGTCCCAGGTCTTAGTTTGGATTAGGCCCTTCTTGGCTCCTGGTTACGCTTGGCTGGCTGCTGTGAGGAAGGGGGCTGTGCTCGCGCTTCCCAATCTTATCCGTTGTGTCTTGAGGTTTATCGCTGACCGCTTGAGGCACGGTGCTCGTACTTACGAATCGGGCCGTCTTGAGAAGGACTGTGGGGAGCTCTTCCGCACGGATGCCGCTTGCAATGATTCTTCGGTTGTCTTGGGCGGATGGTTTTTGCACAAAGGGCCGGAGCCAAAGAAGGCCCCATGGTTTCAGATCACTTTGAGCAGGGACGACGCTCCTTGGTTGTTCAAGAAGGATTCGGGCAGTTCGTGGGCGAGCACTTCGGCTGAGGTTCTTGCTTCGCTTGCGGCGCTACACTTGTTGAGACGTGACTTCAAGGATCTCTGGTCAGTTCCTGGACACTTCCGTGCTTGCTTCTGTGGCGGGACTGATAATAAATCTGCCGAGGCGCTGTCTTGCAAGCTGCTCACGACTCGAGTGCCTCTCATGTTTGTGGTGATGGAGTTCGTCACCTTTTGTGACGCTCTGGGTTTCAGATGCAACCTCAGCTGGAGACCCAGGGACTCCAATCAGGAGGCGGACCGCATCACCAAACATGTTTTCGAGGACTTCGATGAAAACTTGAGACTGCCTTTCAGTTGGTCAGATATGACCTTATCAGTTCTGCCGTCTCTCTTGAGATTCGCGAGCTTTCAGTCTGAACTTGATTCCATCAAGGCCTCGATTGCGGATGATGGAACAACCTCAGCTCCTCGAATAAGGTTGGGTCTCGAAGGGACGAACCCTTTA